AGATGAGGTCTCACCAAGTTGCCCAGGCTGGTCTCGAACCCCTGGGCTCAGGCAGTCCTCTCGCCTCAGCCTCCCAGAATGCTGGGATTACAGGCATGAGCCACCGCCCTCGGCCAGAATGTGCCTAATTTTATGGTGCTCAGTTGAGAACCTGTAGGCAAAAAATATCTCTTGAATTTCTTCCTTGGCATTCTGTGTTTCCAGGCTTAGAGACAGAAGTGATCTGTGGTTCTGTTGTTCCCTAAAGCTGCCTTTGGTGAGGACATTGACTGAGCTTTGCCGTTTTTATGTTCTAAATGGGAGGGAAGAGCAGGTGGAGACTGATGGTGTGAGGAGCTGTGGGCTGCAGGCTGGGTCACTAAGCCTGTCACCTTGGAGTTTGTTCATTTGCCTCCCTCTCCTCCCTTCTAGGATTGCAGATTTCCAGGATGTCCTGAAGGAACCCTCAATTGCATTGAAGAAGCTTCGGGAACTCAGTTTTAGTGGTAAGAGGCCACTCTGCATTTTTAAGGTTCCCTAGAGCAGCCTATGACTAGGATAGAGGGGAAGCTGTCTGGGCCACACCTTATCAGTTCTAGGCCAGCCTGACTCTTGGGACTTTCTCTAGATTCTGTAAAAAGTGATTGCCCTGAGCCTGGAGGTGCTTCCCAGAGGAATGGTAGCCACAGCATGCCTAGAGGCCTCAGGTGGTGCTAGGTTCCTGAGAGTGACTGGACAGGATTGAAGGCAGGAGCATGAGAGTGTCTGGACAGGATCGAAGGCGGACGCATGAGAGTGAGGAGACCTTTTGAGCCTAGGACAGGCCTTTACTATTTGCTCAGCTAGCTTCCTGTGCTATGGAATTTGGTCCCTGGTTCTCTCCCTGGCTTGGGGTCTGAGCTGATTGAGGCGACAGTTAATGGTGAAATTGCAGCCTTGAGACACTGACTTGAAAGAGCTGATCCTTTGCAGAGTGTGACTGCCCTCCCCGGCATGGTTAATCAAAACTAGCACAGAGATAGCCTAGTTTTGGCTTGTTTTTAAAAACACCCCAAGGTGTTGTGTGTAGCTTCTTGTCACTGCCCTACCCCTGTAACTTTGCCAGCAAGAAGTTCTTACATCGTCTACATCATGCCCATGTAGGTTCTGAGGTGGGGGCCTTAGCTTATGTTCACACTGCCAAGCATATCATAGCAGCAGCTGCTCTGTTGAGGCTTCTAACAATACTAAAGGAGAAATTTGTCTTTTTTTTGAGTTGGAGTCTCACTCTGTCGCCCAGACTGGAGTGCAGTGGCCGCTCCCGGCCACCTCAGCCTCGACCTGCTGGGCTCCGGC